TGATTTTACATGTGAAATCGAACCATGGATATCCTTTCTTTATCTTAGCTGGATCGATTAATAGGTGTGTGTGTGTATGTGTTTTCGATCGCAGCTCTCAATGATCCTCTTTTTCTTATTTGATTTTGAACGAGAAGATGGGACAGGGAGATTCGATGTCTCTTTCTTCTTTCTTTGTAAAATTGATAAGCAGATCTCAAGTTGTAGGTATGAGATGATGATAAGGGCTGATATACTTTGGATTCGGTAGTGATGCAGAGGGAGAGAAATCGTCTCCAGATTGCTGCAAACGCCAATGGTGGGAGGTTTGGATCAGCAACAATCAATCGATGGATGATTATATGGGGATAACGTAGGGATATCGTTCCATTTTCCTGTGGATAGATGACTCCAGGCGATAACAGAGACCAGGGATGAGGCGAGGTTAAATCAGAGAAGAAGACGGAGGTGTGGGGTGAAGCAAGAGCGATGAAGGTGAATGGTTCGGCTGGGGAAGAATGGGGGTGGGGATCGTGTGTGTGTGTTTGTAGAGAGAGAGAGAGAGGTGGGCCCAAATTAATTATTTATTTTCTTTTTCATTTAAATTAAAGACAAAATTGCAAAAATGGTCCCTGTGGTATGCAAATTTTTGGGGTTTTAGTCCAAACCTCGAGTTTTTTGGATTCATGGTCCTTTTGGAGTGGTTTGTATGTGAAAATAGTCCCTCCGAAAATTGAAATGACTATAATACCCTTGAGGTATTTATTTTTCATTTTTCTTTCATTTTTTTTAAAATTTAATATTTATTTATTCATTTTAAGAATTAAAAAATAACAGAGGACCCACCTCTCTCTCTCTCTCTCTCTCTCTCGACACATGGTAATACACTCACGCACACCTATTCTCAATCTCTCCAGATTTTTTTGATTTTTAATTCTAAACACACACAGTGCTAAGAACAAGTGCTCAAAAATCGATTTGTATGTGTATGTTTTCGTTTTCGAAATCGATATGTGTGTGTATGAATCTGAAATCCACCATCTTCTCTTTCCTCCTCTCCATCTACTCCGATTACTTAACATCCGCCCACCGCTTCAGGTGGATTACGTTCTCAGAGATAACCCTAGAAGGGAGGCTGCATTAGGGTTTTTGCAAAGGATGTCGTCGGAGAATGAGGGAGAGGAAGTCGTCGTGGGTGTTTTGTGGTATTATGTGGTGGTTCAATGATGACGATGTTGCTCACGGAGGTTCCATATGCTCCCGCTACCCCAACACAAACAACATCGACCCTCCTCTACCGCTGGCATCTCCATTGTGGTCTTCAGCCTCCTCTACTGCTGCCATCTCCACTGTCTAAAAAGCCCCTTCGGCACCCCCAAGCATCTTCCATCGATAGAGATTTAGATTAAGTTAATGCTGGAAATGATCGATCTGAAAATTGGGTCTACTTCAGCGGGTTTTGTAAGTTGAATCAAATCGATTCAGCCAACTGGAGGATAAGCTAATGGAGGATAACTGTAAACCTATGGTGATTACTTACACAATTTTGATCGAGGCCACCATTTTTGACGGTGGGATTACTAAAGCAATGAAGCTTCTTGATGAAATGTTGTCCAGACGTCTTCAACCCGATATGAATGTGATTTAGGGATTTTTGAAGTGATTTGAATAGAAAAGGCGGTGGCAGTAGGTAACCCTGAATGTCTTGGTGGCCGGAAAAACGGCTCCAACTCCGGTGGGGAGTTCTTGGTCGTAAATGAAGAAAGAGGAGGGGGTAGAGTTTGTAGAGAGAGAGAGAGAGGTGGGCCCTCTTATTTTTTTAATAATTAAAATGAATAAATAATTATTAAATTAGAAAAAAATGAATTTAAAAATGGAAAATAAATACCCCAAGGGTATTACAATCATTTCACTATTCACAGGGACCAAAAACGCAACGAAACTAGCTCAAAAGGACCACCAATCCAAAAAAGTCGTAGTTTGGACTAAAACCCCAAAAAAATGCATACCACAGGGACCATTTTTGCAGTTTTGTCTTTAATAAAAAAATACAGTTATAATATAATTAATACATATTTGTACATACATTATGGTTTGAAAGTAAAAAACCTTGTATTTATACAAAAAAAAATATGGTTTAAAATGAACAAAATGTATTTATACCTTTTCAAATGTAAAAAAAAAAAATTATACAGTTTTGAAATGATAAATAGTCAATAGTGAATAGAATTAGAAAAAATGATGTTCGATTTTAAACAAAAAAATAATGTCAAAATTAAAAAAAATAATAATATTAAAATGAAATGAAAACTTAGTGTCTTTTTTGTGTAAAGAAATTTCAATTTTGACACGTAGCATGTCACGTGATAAAAAAAAACTGATACGTCATCATGTCACGTCAACAAGCAACCTGGTTGACCGGTCAAGCGGTGAGAATTGCAACAAACTGGAAACGCAGCGTCCAATTTGAGACAAAAAATAACGCAATGTCAAAATAGTGTCTTTTATGTTAAAAAAAATTACAACTTTATCACGTCAGCATGTCACGTTAGCAAAATTTGACACGTCATCATGTCATGTCAGCAGGCAACCGAGTTGACCGATCAAGTTGTCAGAATTGTAACATATTGGAAACGTAGTGTCCAATTTGAGACAAAAAATAACGCAGTGTCAAAATCAAATTTTCATGTAAACTTAGTGACTTTTGTGGTATTTAAACCATGACTATAATATATCATTCCATTCCATCATCAAAAAATAAATAAATAAATAACCCTACGCCTTAGAACAAAAATCAACCCACAAGAAGGTATCCATTCCAATTCAACTTCTAAACATAAGTTTTTCATTCCATCCTTAATTCCATTCACTCTTCAATCTATATACTAAATATTGCGTTACTTTTCAATATGCATATAGGAAATAGTCAAAGCCCACCACCCAAGGAAACGAATTATTCAAAACACAGTCCCCTAAGGAAACAAATTAGTCAAACTCAAAACTCAAATTAGTCAAAACTCAATAGTCAAAAAAGTCGGCAAGCCTAAACTTTTGTTATATAGTTCTATGCTAATTTCTAAACATTCAAAACTCATAGTTCTCTCTTCTAATACCCAAAAAAACAATCATCACAAAAACAGAGAGATGGAGACCCGACATACTGGTCAGAGACTACCCGTTGCCACCACCGAACCTCCTACCACCACCACATCAGCTGGAGGGATCACCACACCTAAATACACCCCACCACACCCAAAATCTAGTTTCTATAGTATTTTGTTGAACATCATCTTGGGTTTCATATAATCAATGATTAGACTTCCGATGAAATCACCACACCTAGAGCCCATATATATATTTTTTTTTGGTTGTTCAAGCATGTGTACTCTATATTAAGCATAAGATTTGTAAAACATATGTATGCATAGCGCTTTTTATTATGCTAGAAAAATACTTTATGCACAAACTAGGTATAAGTGGCTCTTTCTTTTTTAATTAACAGACTTAATGGGTTCAGCTCTTAATGTGAATAGATATATGGGGATGTTTCTTTTTGACTTAATGCTGAACAGAAAAGGTCTTAATATGTTAAGTAAAAAATGGTTGCTTTAAGAGTTCAGACGTCCTATATTCCAACAACACTATGATTAAGTAACTATTATGTTGTAATATTAAGATCAGATAAACAGTGATTAATTATAACAAGCTTTAAATAAACATTTTTATAGAAGATTAAAAAGGACGTTTACTCGGATTCAAAAAAGAACCATCTATATATAAACAACACTTTATCCTTTACTCATTCCACCTGTAGAGGACTTAATGGGAGAAAAAGAAACAGACCCTAATATTTGAATTTAGTAATTCGCAAAGTAGATACAATATTACTTAATCAGAAAAAAGAGGCAGATAATCAGATACATGGTTATAACCTGCATCTAATTATACAACAAAACACTTGACCACAATTCACATAGCATCATCTAACATCTTAAAGATCAAGGTTGAAAGAGTTTATCACCACATTTGCATTTCCACGAAAGGAGATAGTAATTATCTTCCCAATGAGAAGAATCAATGAATTTAGAATGTGGAGGAATAACCAAAGTAGCCTGACATGGTCTGCAATTCACACACTTGTTCACACACCCAGGTGGCCTTGATCCTAAAATTTTCTTGTTTTCTCCCACACTTGATTCATCATCAACTGCCAATTAACCCACAAAATTAACCTAGAATCAACAAAAAGCTTCTAAAGATCAAAAACCCATTTGGATTTCTCTATTGTAAACAACTAAAGATCATTTTTTTATTTGAGGGGTTACCTGATATGGAAAGTGATAATGTGAGAGATAAGAGAAAAAGGACTATAACAAACACCCTGAAGCTAAATGAGTAGGTCCTTGCAGATGCCATCAATAGTTAACAACTTGAAGGCTTTGGTAGACTAACAGTGAATATAAATAGAAGTGGGAGAGATTAATGATGAAGGGGAGAGGGGCATGTGAGGAATTAATAATATATGGTCGTGCATGCAGTACTGTATACGGAAACAGTGGAAATTAAAAGGGTGATCTTCAGGGGATTGGGTTACTATTTGGAAGTGGAAAAGAACAAAAAAAAAAAAAAAAAAAAAAAAAAAAAGGGAGAACATTTTTGACAGAGAAGTCAAATAAATGTTTGGAGAAGAAGGGACAGGTTTCCTAATGTGAATTGATTCGATGAGTGTATTGAAATTTGAAGTCTCTCAAACTCATATTCTTTTTTTTTTTTTTTTTTTTCTTTTCCTACGTGAAATTTCACTATTCTTTCTACCTGTTTTTGGGAAAATGTTGCCATTTGATCTGAGTAATTTCTTAAATCTTGAGCCATTGTTTCTTGAATTACCAGCATTATCATTGTGATCTGAAATAGTTTTTTGTCTTTTGTTTTCTTGTGGAGTGGTCAAAATACTGTTATCATGCTGCATTTAATGATCTCCCAAATTATTTATTGAGTTTCATCAGCAAATATTGTAAATATCTTAAGGAAAATCTTGAACTTAAGGTCAATTGTACCATAGGTCCAGAAAAACCCATACCCCAATATCATTCTTTGATTACTTCCAGAGATCTATGTTCATAGCATTAAGAATACATAAATGAAGCATAAGGAAACTTGAATAATTGGAATATATGGTTATGATATGAAGAAGATGCTGAATTCAACATAATTATTGAGAGGAAAGTCAGATTCTTACATTGATTGGGTTTGACGACAAGAATGAAGTTTATCTAAACCGGGCCATAGAATTAAATTCGAAGCGTCATATCATCAAACAGTTGATGTGCACAATTTTGTCCATCTCTTTCTCTGTTCATCTTTTAACCTTTTCTTGGCGATGCAAACAGTTTTTCCCGTTACTCTATCAAACATCATAAGAGTTCAATAAATGTCACATGCAGTGATTCGAACCAAAAAAGTAAAAGCCTCAGGAGTCAGGACAACCCATCGCCACATTTGTAAGAGATTTGCCAATTGCCACTTTTAGAATTCAAGAAAATTTTAATGCCAATCATCCATTTCTTATTCGAAAATACTCTCTATGATACTTTATTGAACAGTATTCTCAAAAAGAGGTTTACCTGCTCCGACTTCAGTTTGAAATGGTTGCCCCTTAAACCATAAAAGGTCTTCTTTCTTCCATTGATAAGACATTCCATTGTTCTCGTTTGTCTGCATGTCACTAGAAAGGGAAAACATAAACAGACATGTATTTTGATGTTGCTGTTCATATCATCGCATAAAGTCATTAATTTCCAGCAAAAGAGGTTTAACTGATATGGCAATGGCATACGACAGAAGTATTTTCCGGCCGGGTTTGTGTACAATCTCATGTACAAAGTCGATGAACAGATTGAGAGGCGGAGTTAGAGAAAAATTTAACGAGACACCTGATGTTTGTAGTCACAGCTGAAGGTACGTGTATGGACAGTATGGTGGTTGACTGGTTGTGGCAAGCACGGCGTGCGATGGTGGCGGGGACACAGCCAGAGGCCATGCTTAGGTTTAGGTAGCCGTGGATCGTTATTAAACATCTAAGGATTAATCTCTTAAACGGGTAATTGAATTGGGAAATTTATTAAACTAACATTCCAAAAGAGTTATTTCAATAAAATAATTAGATTTTTAGTTTTTAGAAAATGATTATTAAGTCCGGAATATAGTATTTCGTTAAAGTTATCCCCGAGTTGGTGGTTGTTAGGGTAAAATTTGTTCGAAATCTGACATCCGTACATACCGGATTTAATAGTGCATTCTAGATCTTGTGTTCGGAATGTACAAACATTCTAGAGTAATGTTTCTGGAGTGTTAATATCGTGTTCTAAATTGTGCGTCATGACGTGTGGTGCAACTCCGCAGCTTCAAAAAACCTCATGGCAGTGTTGTTAGGCGTGAAGCGTTGCAACAGGTGCTATGACATGTTATGGCACGACTTTTTATTTTTGATATACGTTTATTGTTTTTTGTTATGTTTTTTCTGATTGTGAATACAACCATTGAGTTTTTGTTAAGCTTTTGTTGTTAGTTGTTGCTATAATATTAGAAAATCTTCAGAAAAAAACCTTATATTTTAACCTTATATTCAATTAAGTTCTTATATTTTATTTTCTTGCAATCAAGTCCAAAAAATAGGCAATTGTTTATAATTTTGTTTCAAAAATTGGCAACTGTTTATATTTTTAGGTTTTTTATCCCGGTAAACTGGTCATGGTTTTTACCCTGTAAACCGATCATTTTTGGGTCACTAACCGAATATGAGTGTTTTTTCATAAATATAATCAAAGATTAAACGTTTGGACTAACTATTATCTAATATTTTGTATTGGACTGACTAAGTGCATATTTTGTATTGGACTAACTTAAATTTTGATTATATTTCTAAAAAATCACTCATATTCGGTTGGTGACCAGTTACCAGGGTAAAAAACCCAAAAATAACCGGTTTACCAGGATAAGAAACCCAAAAATGTAGACAATTGTCAGTTTTTGGGACTTATTTGTAAACAATTGCTAGTTTTTTGGGTTTAAATAAGAAAAAATGTAAGGACTTAATCGAATACAAGGTCATAATGTAAGGACTTTTCTAAATATTTCCCTGTCACATTTCTAGAAACCCGATATATTTGAACCTTGGTTAATACTAGGGTATTTTTGTTGCCATTGTTGCTACATAAACCATATACATGTAAGACTATTGCTGAAAGTAACCAAATTTGTAATTTTTTACCTATGACATTTAATCATGTTCCTTCGTACAATGGGCATGTACAAGAGGGTGATTTTAGGTATAAAAGTAAGGTCGGTGATGCTGATGCAACATTTGATGTTGATAAATCTGCAATTGATCAAGCAAAACTAATGATGTTGGTTGATGATAGTATAATATAATTCCACACAGAGACCCGGTAGAACAATTTCAGACCTTCTCTGGATTTTTTGGGGATGAGATTGAATCTAAAGAAAAAAGAAATTGAGCACCGACATGCCCAACATGAAAAGTTACGCTTATTATTTTTCAACTTCTAAAGAAACAAAAACCGCTCATTGGAGGATGCATGAACCTTTACCATTTCCCGGATTACCATATCAAAATCGTAAAGGTTATATATCCCAATATCATTCTACATATGTGATCTTGTTTCAATTGTTCAAAAGCAAAAAGAACTTAAGCTTTTTTAGAAGTAGCCATATATTAAAAAACACTAGCAAAGACATAGAACAAAGAACCAATTACAAAATATTTAAAGGTTGTTGCAACCAACAAACCTAATTACAGGGCATTTCAAATTCCTACTACTATACCACGAAAAGGAAAAATGTCTAGTAGAATCAAAAATCTCGTCCTTTCTCAACTCCGTATCTGCAAACAATAAAGCATTCACGTAGTTCCAAATATACCACAAAAAAGAAGAGCTTAAGCTTTATTTGGGATTCAAATGTGTTAACGAGGCCTTTCAAAATAGATTTAGCAAATCTACAACAGACAGGTTTGAATTTGTTTCCTTTGTGAAAAAATGTAAATGAACGATTAAGGGATACAAAAGATAAAGATACTAATTCATTTCAATTCCATGAAGTATTGGAAAATACACTTGCTCAAACACACTGCTCCATCTCCATCATCTCCAAGACAACAAGAAACTGTTGGGTCACTTCTTAACGTACATATTAGCCTATTGTATATAGAATATGCTATTCGGAAAGGGAATATTTTATTCAAAAAGAAAATGAAACGAACTATAAAATGACTATTTTAGTTTACATATTTTGCATGCAAGCGTAGAGTGCAAAAATGTATGCTCTAAATTTGTTGAGAGGGAATCCTGAAGAAAGCTTTAAAAGACATCATTTATATTGTTACAATTTAAAAAGAAAAACTTCATGGACCGTTACACTCGTAAAGACAGATGAAAACAACATATTTGAATATATTTTTTTTTCCCCTTATCAATTGTGCGGTAATATTCCTTATGTACTTTTTTTACCTGTTATACATGTATTTGATCTAATTACTAATATATTATATTATATTGTAGATTCGAGCGTTTCAAAGATGATCGTGTCCTATTATTATCATTGACGGAGCCCACCTAAAAGGAAAATACATGGGAACTATGTTCTTAGTAGAAGCCGTGGACATTAATAATGAAATCTTTCTAATAGCATTTGGTGTTGGAAAAGCATAAAGTGGGGAACCATGGATATGTTTTTTATCGAGACTGAAAGAATGTAACAGGGATATGTACCATGTGGCTATCATATCCGATAGAGCCAATTTGATTGAAACAACCATTCAAGTTGTGTTCCAAAATGCATATCATAGACTCTGTTGTCAACATTTTTAAATGAATATGCTAGCAAAGATCGACAAACTAGACATAATAGAAATTATGTTTTGGGAGACACTAAGCTTACCGATATTTTGATTTTAAAGAAAGTTTGGCTAGGCTACGACATGCTTTATCTGATGATTTTCGTATGGATTGGTAGAATTGGTAACCATAAATGAGCAAGGGCATGTGTTCCATGGGTTGCAGTATAATCTAACGACATCAAACAATGTCGAGTCCAATTTGTTATCAAGATATGTATAGAAACTACCAATTACAATGTTGATTGACTTTTTTTAAGCAACAATTCAATAATGGTGGTGTCACTGGCGTAATGTCGCAAGTATTTGAAAAAATATAAATTACAATTTATTTTACCATAAATTACTATGCATTCTAATATGCTTATATTCCTGTATAGCGCAAAGTGACAAACATGTTACCATTTATGATGAGAAAGGTGTTGATAGGAGGATTAACAAATCATCAAGTTTACAGTATACTAGGTGGATGAAAGTAGATATGAAGTGATTGACCTAAAAATGTTATAGTCCACTTAAAAATGTTATTATACTCAGGTATATCGTGTCCTCAGGCTATGG